AATTCATGCGGGCCTTGGGCGGGTGGTTCGCTTATTAGGCTCACCACCGGTCCTGCTTCGATCGGCCAATTCTGACATGAGACACTGAGACCGTGCCTCTACGAAGAGTGTACATATATATGGCTCCTGCTGCATCTCAATCACCTGATGCCGCCAAGCGGATTGCTCTGCTGTAGTGGCACAGCTAGATAGGGTCGAGCGGGCGCGGCGCTCAATTAAGCGCGGTTGGTGCACTTTCCACATTGGTCCATGCACACTTCGAGACCAACACTTGGGGGCTCGGCCGCCCGCAAACGGCACCTGAGCAGTCTTGCCGAGCGCGTAACTGTGACTGCACGTTCCGCAATTACATGTCGATGTTGATGTCACGTCGAGAAGTTTAAGCTGCGCGCGCGAGGCTTCCGCAAGATGTGCGGATGCCGCATCGTGTGCCACGCGACATGCGAGCGCCGCAAATCGTGATTTCGATTAGCGATTCGATGTCACCACATCTGTTTCTGTAGCGAACCCCACGGTTATACCGGTACCTACAAGCTTCGCCGGCTGAGAGAGGACAAAGCTACCGCTACAGCGCTGCAGAGAAGCTGGCGGAGACGTTGTCGACCTTGGCATCTGCGCCATGCACCGAAATCATAGAAAGCTTAGCGGCGACCCCTGAGCAACCCTTGCAACACAAGCAGTCGCTGAGTCAAGACCCTCGACCTGGTAACACTGCGCGAGACTTGTAGCGAGGCTCACGTTGTCAAGTCTTTGGATTGAGAAATGATCCGAACCGAACGTGCTCGTCAAACTCGTGCACTGGCGACGAGCACTTGGATGCAAGTTCAAGCGTTGGGGGAGCGGGTACATGCGCGTAGCTCGAGTCAGAAAGGTATCGCTTGAGGTGCATGAGCCAGAAAGAGTGTGAAGCTTGCTTTGATTCGTATCAAGATGGCGAGGCAGGCATGTGGCTCCTAAAACAAGGCTAGGGTCGGCATTCACATGACGTATCTGAACAAGGCAGAACAGCGGGTCAGCTCATTCAAGTATGCATCGAAGGCCGGGTCTTTTTGACCCACTCAATGACGCTATTTTCGCCTATGACGTTGCGGATTTCGTAGCCTTGGGCTTGCTTGCGCTGCATAACAGAGTAGTGCACCTTTGGCTCATCATCCCGAATCGTGCGGTAGCGACCAAGGTTCATGCCAACCACTGCGAACGTGAAACGTCGAAAGAGAGGTGAGTGGACTCCGCACTTTTCAGCGAAGCACGCCGGTTTCGACATACCTTTCTTCCACTTGCCCTGCGGAAGCAAGGAATCGAGAGTCGGATTCAGCAATAGGTGAGAGATCGTAGGGCATCACTCGCTCAATAAGCTCATCGCTCACATCGTTCTGCTGCTCGCGGTGCTTCGTAGGGTAGACTTCAAGAATCCACCAGCCCTTGGCGTCTTTGAGCTGGTCATTGATTGGTGCCAGCGCGTCGAAGTAGTCTTCCCAAGCTTCAGGAAGCTGCGCATCTTCCTCTCGGCCGGTAAGTCCAGCATAGGAATTGCTACGCAAATGGGACCGGTCCTTTTCAACGTGCGGAGTGTCCAGCTGTTGGTGAGTGGGGATTGGTGGCGCAAATTCTCCCACACCGTCATTGAAGGTCGCGATGCCATCATTGTTCTCCAAACGAGCGAGGGCGTCCGCACGCGACTTGCGGATCGACTTACGACGCTCGGCCAGGGAAGGGAGCGTGCCAGAGGCATAGCGATCAATTGCTGAAGGAGGCGGCCTAAAAGTCACCAGTGGTGGGTCAGCTGCTCGGCAACGACTGCCATCCCTTGCGCCTGTGAGCCACTCACCCGCAGAAAGGACGGGGCCGCTCGACCAAAGTTGGATACAAGGTATGAACATCCATGCCGTAATCAGCCAGGACGTCCGCATTGTACAGAATGCCGGTGTCGCAGGCGAAAGTTTGGCGGATCATCCAGCGCAAAGGGATGTTGGAAAGAGCCTGTACCGGGACACGTGTGAGCTTTGAGTACATCACGCGTACGTCTAACCACTGAACTTACGTGACGAGTCTCATTGCCAACGGCACCACCTGCAAGTAAGAGTATGACGCCGGCAGATCAACTACTTGAAGACACGCCGCTCTGAAGTCCTGAGCTCCTCATACGCACCTCCAACGTCAGCATGGGCGCCCGCAAACCAAACTTCAAGCGCATCTGTCTTGAAGCGCTCCCCGCCAAGTTCGCGCTGGTCAAGCTGTCAAAGAATTTGTTTGTCAGTGATTTGGGTTTAAAGAAAGCAAAATCGATTGAGCATACCTTGGTGAACCGCTGAGCCAATGCCTCTTGAGTCTGCGCCTTCGTCATTTTGGGTCTCTCTTCGGTATCCCCTTGGGGTCCTTGAGAATTGCGACGGAAGGCCAGAGGCAAGCTCTTGCGACGCGAAGGTGATCCAGGGGTCTTTTGAACGCTGCCAAACTCGCCCGATCCGTTACTCGTGGGAGTGTTTGTGCCCTCCGCTGGCTCGATCGAGGCAGGCTCCTCCGTAAATTGGATGCTACTCAAGCGACGAGCAGCGCTGATGGAGCTGTTGCGCTTCATAGCTAGCTCTTGAGCAATAGCGGCTCGCTTTTCTGCAATGCGAGGATCGTTCATCGCACCAGGAGTCAGGGAAGGAGTGTCGTCTAGAGTGACCTTCTGACTGCTCTGCTTCGGTGTCACATCATGGGCTCTCTGCTCCCAATGCGAGACCTTGAACTTGGCACGTCGCTCGTCGAGGGCCATCGCATGACGGAAATAGCGAACGCAACTGGTGTTGTTCTTCGCGAAGGGCAACTGGCGAGGAATGAAGCCGACCGACGCGACAGTGTCCCAGCATCCAAGGAAGTGCACCTTCACGTCGATGCAGAACGTGGTCTTGAACAACGCGGACTGTTCCCATCCTGTGGGTGTGTCGTCCTTGAACTGCTTGTATGCGAATGCAACTTGGGAGGAGTTGTTGGCAGGAAGCAGTCCAATCTTGAGCAGCATGCCAGTCAATGCCCTCGCAGTGTACGCTCCGCGACTAAATCCAAAGATACAGATCTTGTCCCCTTCAGTGTAATTCCCCATGAGAAACGCTGGCAGGCGACAAGGTTGCATCTCAGCGCCAGATCGCACAGCTCGATATGTGGTACTCACAGTACGCCTCTTTGATGTGGGTGCCAAGACCAGAGCCAACAGCCATGTCGGAAGCAGAGCTGATTCCTGATTGAAGCTTCCCCGAGCCGCTGTAGGTGCCGATGCCTGGCTGATAGTACAGCTTCTGAGAGCTGTCTTTCTTCAGGGCCCCAAAAAGCTTGACCACATTGGAATTGTCGCAATCGAACTGGCATCCGGCGCGTCAAGCTTTAGCAAGCACACAAAACTCCTCAGACGCGATGCGTGTTCTCACCTGGTCACCAGTGCCATCGAGAAGAATACACAGAGTCCTAGATGGTCCTCGGGTTGTGAAGTTGCGGTGATTCGGCACTGCCGCGATCGTCGCTGGGATGTCGCCGCTGACGCCCATTGCTGCTCGAATGTCTTCTGGCGGCTGAACGTATTCTGCTTGGAAAGCGCCGGAGCTGCACTATCCGAACACAGGCTTCAGTGACAAAGTCGGGCTTGGATGCGATGTATGGTGGTGGTTTGGAACATTTGATGTTCCCGCTCCGTGCCTCGAATGCGTCTGCTGCGCTGCTTATAGCGATGGAAAGCGTGATGGGCGCTAGGATCTTTGAGATGCTGGCTTGTCTTGTGCTGGTGCAGGGCACGTGCTGTGGCGACGATACAAGTTTGGAGAGCAATTCAATCATTCAAGCCTGTTGGATAGCGATCATCCTCGGCCCCTCTTGCTCACTCATTGGTTCGGGTACAGGCAGAGCGGCGCTGAGACTTTGCACTTGGGACTGTGACTTGCGACTTTTCGGGATCATTCACAGTCACGCATGAAGCGCCAGGTCCAAAGTCCGGCCAAGCTTCTGCTAAGCTGAATCCCCGACTACGAGGGGGAGCTATACTCGAAATTGTGTATGCACATTGCCCAGACAAATTTCCCTCACACATGTGTCTGTCCCGAGAGAGGCACGACTCTCACTCGTGAGTTTACTGACTCGTTCACGACTGTGTTGCAGCGGCAAATTGTGGGTTCACAAAGTGAGGCGTCGGGTGAATCGTGAATTAGCTTGTTTGTGATGCTCTTGTTTGCTCCTCCTTGGCCCGTCAGCTTCGACGACCGCTGTGTGTACGTGCGTCAGTCTTGAGTGGTTGTGGAGGTCGGACCAAACGTGAATCCAGGCGGGGTGAAACAAACGATATGCAGCGATACAGGCACTTCTCCAGTCTGCTCTTGTGACTCGTGACCCCCCACGCCTTCTGGAAGAACTGAAGGGTCACTGTAGTCATTTAGCGCCGGGCTGGAAGCTCGTCAGCGGCGGGCTTGATTGGCTGCGCCGAGTGCGTTTCTGACAGATTCATTCAAGGTTCCAAATTTTGGTTAGGCTCGTAATAGCACCATTTCTATTCGCGTTCTTCGCCTTGGCTGACGAACGCAGCCAGCCATGCAGCATCTTGGCACTGTCAGCACCACGACAGCCAGCTCTGCTCGATCGCGATGCATGAGATTCATATATGGCATCTGTCAACAATGCGTGCTGATTGCCCTGATTCTCCGCAAATCGACCGTCGCGAGCCGACCCGATGCACAACGCACAAGGTTCACGCTAGCGCGTCGGCCCGGATATCAAATGACCTGCCGGCGCAGACAGCAGTCAATTGAGGGGCGCCAGAGGGGCCCGGCCCGCATACACAATTGTGCATCCAAGATCGCTCTCGCATTCAAATGGAAGCAATGGCATGCACACTCCAACACAGTCCGGCAATTTTGAGGCAGCTTCGTTGCATATATAGCATCGGCTTGGCGCACGATGTTGACTTAATTGGGTGCAGCGCAGATGCTGCCTACCTGTAGCTGCTGTCTAAGCCCGGCAGCCGGCGAAGCTAGGGTGCTTCTACGATTTCGGCTAACGCCTGCGGCGTGCGTTTGCCCGAGATGGTCGGACTTTCGATGCCTGTGACTCAGGACCAGCGCTGAACAAATTGACCGAAGCGATCGAGGTTACTTGTATCATAGTCAGAACAGGAGCAGGAGGGCTGTCTGACTGAGGCTTGTTAAAGGTGGGATGAAAGAGCTCAAGGTGACCACGGACAGAGCGACAACTTCGCACGGGGGTTTATCATCAAACTTCAATTTGCGCAACCCCGCTCGTGCAGCTAGCTTCCCACGGAGTTGCCCGAAAGTTCAGAGCTTGTCACTAGGTGAGACTTGCCCTGAGAGCAAACTTTGGAAAAGGCGAAGGCGAGATTGGGAAGAATAATGCCGCATCAGCAGACTCATCTGTGCGCGACCAGGCTAGCTGCATCCTGTAGCAGCAGCGGCAGACGGGCCAACCGGTGACTGCATGTAGGGTTTCCAAGGTGGGAGGGTGCATACGTGGCGTCATGCTGCTGATGCGCCGCATAGCTCTGCACTTACCGGTGTGTCGGAGTTGGAAAAAGTGTTGATGTCGCGCAAAGCTGCATCGTGCTCGTCTTCGCAGCCCGTGCACGCTCTGGCAGATCACTTAATTGCAGTCACGATCGAGTGACGTTGCCAAAGTCACGGACAGCGCACTCACGCTCGTGCCCACCAATGATTCACTCAAGGCACTCAACACTCTGCACCTACGCGGATGCAAATGATTGTCTTTCGATTCTAGCTTCAGCATCTTGTGAGAATTGGCGACTCCCGACTTAGCCCGCCTAAGCCAGATTTGACTTTGACCGTATAGCTGCCTGACAACGTCAATGCAAGGGCTTTCTTCATCAGCAGCAAACGACGGCCTTCGCATCCCATCTGTGATGGGCGTGTCTTGAGCGATGCCAGCTGTGGTGCCAGCCGACGCTAGCAGCTGGAAGAAGGTGGACTGGCGGGCAAGCAGCCAATCATGTGTCGAACACGGGCTGAATCGCATGCATCCAATCGTCAAGAGCCGCGTGCACACGACCGTCATTGCAAATTGTCTCGATCTGCTGGTGCGCCGCTGCGAGAAGCCGCTGTCAAGACTCGTGACCGTAACTCACAATTTCGAGCTACCAAATTTCTTAAGCTGCAGGAGGCGGCGGCCACTGCTGTTTTGTCAGCAAGAGTCGACATGAGGCAGGTGATCAGCGAGTCGCACCTCCACCGAAACCAAGCCTTGAGACTGATTGCGCAGCGCAGAGAAATGGCAGCCTTGCAATCAGCAGGGATTCCGACGAACCGGAGTGCGGGGCAGCGGACGGCTATAGAGACTATCCAAGAGCGTGAACAGCAAGATCGAGAGGAAAATGTGCTCGAGCAATGAGTAGACGCGCAGCTCCCTCAAGCCTGGATGTCAAGCACTCAGACCGTGAACATACAGCTGAATTCTTATAACAGAGTAGTACAATTCCTTCTCTGCATCACTCCAGAGGTTTGCTTCACATCTTCACCTTCCCAGGCGCTATCCAATTTCTGAATACACCACTTTCCCCACTAAGGCTCGACAAAATGGGTCAAATCAAGAACCTGATCGGCACCATCCGAAAGAAGCCTGCTACGGCAGACGATGGCATGACCGATGAGCAAGCTGGCCACCAGCAAGGCAAGACCTCTGTCATGCACGACATTCGACACCTCGGGGTCAAGAACTCGTTGTTCATGGCAGAGGCCTTGAAGGATTTGAGCTCGGGTGACCCAATCGATGACAGAGAGCTGCTATTGGAGCATGGTGTCGAGATGCTGCAGAGTCTTCCGCCCAGCAGCGGTCTCTCTTCAGCGATCTCCAACGGCTTCATCAAGATGCTGTGGCGTGGTGAGTAGTTCGCACCTGCTCTCTTTGCCATCGGTGCTGACACTCTCGCCATGCTGTACAGACCTGCCACATCCGCACGGCACAGTCGTAGGCAACACTGCCAAGTACAGAAGCGCAGATGGGTCAGGTGAGCGGCTCCGGCGCGAGCGAGCGAGCGAGCCAGCACTGAGATAGCAAGAAGTTGCTGACATGCCCGCACCTGCGTCTCAGGCAACAACTTGCACAACCCTGAGATGGGTAAAGCTGGCTCCGTCTACGCGCGATCAGTGCCGCCTATGCGCCCCAAGCCCGCGAATCTTCCTGACCCTGAGCTTGTGAGTCTCTATGCAAAGGCAGATAGAGCCGTGCATGCGCGCCTGCTGATCTCAGATCAATATCTCGTGTGTAGGTGTACGACATGCTCTTGCGTCGGCCTGACAACGAGTCGCCTTTCAGGGAGCACCCCGGTGGACTGAGTGCCTTCTTCACATGCTTCGCCACGGTAGTCATTCATGAGTGCTTCCAAACCTCTCGCGAGGACCACACCAGGAATCAAACTAGCAGCTACGTCGACCTGAGCGTCCTGTATGGTGAGTGGCGGTATGTTCCGCAGTCCCTCGACCGCTGCTAATGATGCTCCACGCCTCACAGGATTCAATCAAGAGCAGCAGGATGCTGTCAGAAGCCACAAAAATGGAGAACTGTGGCCCGACACTTTCAGCTCGGAGCGCATTGCGATGATGCCGCCTGGTGTCGTTGCTATCGTCATTCTGTTCTCGCGTCACCACAACCACATCGCAGAGCGTCTGCTGCAAATCAACGAGTCCGGCAAGTACAAGCCCTGGAACGAACTTGATGAAGCGGGCAAAAAAGCCCAAGATGAAGATATCTTTCAAGTGAGCGCCCATCCTGCATTCTTGAGCCAATGAAGGTCAGCGCTGATGTGTCCTTTTCCGTTTGCCCAGCTTTCGCGAAATGTCAATGTCGCCTTCTTCGCTACAGTCGTCCTCAAAGACTATGTCGCGGCCATCCTCAACACGGTGCGCGCAGATTCCGAGTGGTCCCTCGACCTTGGCGCCGAAATTCGAGAGCTTGGCGGCGCTGGCCGAGTCGAGCGCGGTACAGGAGTTGTGAACAGCGCAGAGTTCAATATTTTGTAGTGAGTCTTCTTGCGAACAGAGTCTATCCAAAAGTGGAGCTGACTTGCACTGCATTCACAGTCGCTGGCACGCTGTCATGTCGCAGAAGGACGCAGCATGGATGGAAGACACCTTGAAGTCAAGCTTGCCGGGTATTGAATCTGTGGAGCAGATCGGTCTCAAGGAGTTCGGAATCGTTGCAGCCAAGCACGCCCAAATGACCAAGACTACTCCCGAGAAGGAGTGGCAATTCTCAGGCCTTAAGCGTGACCCTAAGACCGGCAAATTCGACGATGTCGCACTGGGAGAGATGATCAAGAACTCCATTGAGGACCCAGCACACGCTTTTGGTGCTCACGGAACACCAGCCGCTCTCCGCATTGTAGACTGTCTTGGCCAAAAACAGGCGCGGGACGTGTTCAACCTTTGCACTATGAATGAGTTCAGGAGCTACCTGAATCTCAAGCCGTTCGAAACTTTCGAGGACTGGAATCCTGATCCACAGGTTGCCGCCGCAGCGGCCAAATTGTATGGCCACGTCGACAATCTTGAACTTTACCCAGGCCTCCTTGCGGAGGAAGCCAAACCAAGCATGCCAGGGTCTGGCGTCTGCCCCGGACACACCATTGGAAGGGCTATTCTCAACGATGCGGTGCAGCTGATTCGTGCAGATAGATTTCTCACATTCGACCTTAACAGCAGCACCCTGACCTCCTGGGGAGCTCAGCAGATTACTCAAGCTGCTCCTGGCGCGTACGGTGGCATGCTGCCCACCATCCTCTACCGCACCCTGCCTTCGCAATGGCAGAGGTACTCCAGCTATGCTCTGCTGCCTTTCTATACTCCCAAGGCTGTGCGCCACATTCTCAAAGAGAACAAGAAATTGGACAAGTACGACACCTCTAGACCACCCAAGCAGCTCAAGATGCACGGTGCTCACTCGTACGCTGCAGCTAAAGGTATCTTCTTGGATCGTGAGCGCTTCCGTGTGCCGTACGACGAGAACATTGTGCACCTCACAGGCGCTCGGTTCATGATTGGCCACGACGATGCCTCTGGTCACGATCCGAAGTCTTTGCGCATGAAGAACGCATTCTTTGGCTATCCCGACTTTGCAAAGAAGGCTGAGCAATACCGCTCCTATCCCGACTTTGCAAAGAAGGCTGAGCAATACCACTTGGAGCACGCCAAGGCCATCATCAAAGATCACAGTCTCTCCTATCACAATGGCCAACGCCACGTTGTCGACGTTGTGCGAGACGTCTGCAACGTCGTCCCAATCCAGTGGGCCGCTCAAAAATACGCAATTCCCCTCAAGACCAAAGAGAATCCTCACGGACTCATGTCGACGTTCGAACTAGGCCTGCTCTTGACCACCCTCTTCCTCTACACCAGCTTCGACCAAATTCCTGCAGCAAGCTGGGTACTGCGCGATGCTGCTGAGCAACATGGGCCACAGCTCATGAAGGTGTTCGAGGGCCGCCTGAAGACCAACTCAGGTGTCAAGGAAGCCATTTTGGACCGTTTCGCTAAGGGCACCTCGTTCGAGGTTTCGGAAGAGGCAGACTTCCTCTACCATTCCTTGATCAAGACCGGCGAGCCTATCAAGCAGCTCGTTGCGGACTGCACGGGTACGATCATTCCTATCGCCGGCAATATGACCCAGCAACCGGGCCTTCTCATCGATCTTTTGCTTGAGCCGCATAACAAGTACGCACTCGATCGTGTTGTCGAGCTCGTCAAGCAGGATACTCCAGAAGCTGACAAGGAGCTTGAGGGATGGATTTGGGAAGGTATGCGTCTGCGTCCTGTCGTTCTCGGCCTGCCCCGCATCGCAGCTGTCGATGTTGACCTAGACGACGGCCCTCGCGGAAACATTGAGATCAAGGCGGGCGACAAGGTAATCGTCAATACCGCTCAGGCACACCTCGATCCCAATGTCTTCCCGGACCCCGAGAAGATGGACCCAAGCAGAGATCGCAAGCTCTACATCCACATGGGCGCAGGCCTTCATTTCTGCTTCGGCGCTGCGCTCGTCGTGCCAGCCATTCGAGGCATCTTCAAGGCGGTCTTCTCCTTGCCCAACATCCGCAGAGCTGTTAGCGGTGGTCACTTCGTGGCTGCCAAGGAGCACTTGGGCCACAATGCCGATGCTGCCACTGCGACGCTCTTCCTTGACCACACGTCTCGCGAGTCGCCCATTCCTTCCTCCCTCAAGATCGAGTACGACTCTGCTTGAGCTTGAAAAACAGACATCAATCACCCCATCTTGTGCTACCACCCCTCACCCCCGCAAGACTGGTGCAAAAAATTGGCAATCAATGAGACATTGGTCAAGCCAAATATTTTAGCCTGACTTTCTATCGCAGATTGTGGTAAAAAAAAAGGTTCTTGTAGTCATGACCGTGCCGTCCGGCAGATTTCTCTGTGCTTGTGGCTTACCATCCGGCTGCCCGGAGGGCAACTACGGTCACATCGAGGATGGTGAACACGGTGTCTAGAGTACGACGGAACGTGAGAATAGTGAGTCGGCTTCCTTCGACTGTTCAAACATGAAGTCTTCTCACCGAGCACAGTGATCCTATCGAACCCGTGTCCCACGATCCATCTGCCGCTAGGCCTGGCCCAGAAAAAGTTCAGAGCAGCCTGACTCGCATTCGCAGCGGCCAGCGCGGACAAAGTCACAATGTCCAGAGCGCGAGCAGCGGCTGGATCTCCATCTGCGCTCAGGACGGAAAGGCTACCTCTACGCGCAGAGAGTTGCTTGGAAATCGATGAGGATGTGAGGAGCGGGAGGAAGCGCAAAGCTGCCAGAACCACAAAGCCAGCATTGATACCGCCCAAGTAGCGCATCTGGGCACGAAATGGGTTTCGAGTATGAGCTCTGAAAGCTTTGATAACTGAAAAAGCGCGAGTCGATGATTAGTGAATACCGACCAGATCATGGTGCCAAGCGTCTCCTTCCGGTGTTTCAATCGTGTCCACCTTCTTGACACGCGTAGAAAGCTTGCGCATCATTTTTTGGGGTAAGAAACCAAAGTGTATGAAAGCGCTAGGGGATCACATCAAACGTTCAAGCGGCCAGTCGTCAGCTCGAGGACTTGTCCTTCCACATCATTGACAGACCTCTCTCGTCGATCCGACGCACCTGGTGTGCCAAAGTGCATTGCCAGCGTATAGTCCCGCGCGGAAGCCAGGGCTTGCAAAGAAAGCTGCAATGGATGACATCTTCTCTAGGCCGTGGAGTGAAGTTAGCGATCGTGATCTGTGTTGAGCGACACCGCGTTCCGCAGCTGAGGTGGTGGGCGCCGTGAGCAAGTTGAAAATGGCCTTCATGAATCACAACGAAGCAGCATGGGTCGGGCCCGGCTCCACCATGAAAGCCGGCCAGCAGGCACGATTGACGATTTCATGCATGCAGCGTCAGCAGAAGGTCCCGCCGCAGAGGCACACGTCTCACTGCAAGCGGCGCGGCGGCGCGGCGGCCCACGCAGCTGTACGTGGCATCCTCACATCCGCATCCCCTCATCCCTTGCCATCAGCCACACTACTCGTGACTTGCGCCGGAGTTACGGAAATGGTGCGAAGCATGTAGGCCCATATGGACAACGGCATTTCTACCTCGGCCAGTCTACAGCTGCGTTCAAAGTTCACTCGGCGAGGGTTCCGAATGCGCGCCACGATTCGCTAGCTTATCGGGTATCGCTGTCCTCCTTTCATGGACGTTGCTGGCTCGTCGGGAAATGCTACGACCCCGTCTCAAGCGTCAGCAAGAACACTCGCTTGTGTGGTACGCATGCATTCGTACTGAATTGCTTGCTGTCCAAAGAAGTTCGCACAGCTTCTGCTCCTGGATTTGACAGCTTGGCAGAAAGCATCTGCCAGTATGTCTCTGGCAGGCTCGGGATCAGGGGCGCCCGACTTTGATCAAGGTTGGCAGCGTCCTGCGTTTGTTCAGAGACACTGTGGGTTCAGCAGTGGTCACTGATGGAGAGCGCTGTGCTCCTACTCACCAGTGTATCGAGGGTAAAGCGAAGCTTCCCGGACGGTGTCTGCAGGGTGCGCCGGAAACGTTGAGAAACTCGTCAGATTCGCACCTAATGACCTCTGGTACATGCTCCCACTTACATCTGTTGGTGAGCCAAGCCAAGAATCTCTCCACGCCCAGTCCATATCCTCCATGCTCGCAAGTACCGTACTTGCGCTGGTCGGTGTACCAGTGGTAAGGTTTGGCATCGATACCTTCGTGCTTGTACGCGTCCAACAGCTCCTGAGATCCGCTCATACGCATCGATCCTCCCACAATCTCTCCAACGCCGGGCATGAGCACATCGACGCTCTCGGTGAAGCCTTCGTCGCCCGGAATGCGCTTCATGTAGAAGGCTTTGATCTCACGAGGGAAGCCTGTAAGGAAGATTGGGACGCCAATGGCATCCGTCATCTTCCGCTCTGCGGCCTCGGCGATGTCGTCTCCGACTTTGTGGTCTTCTCCTTCGTCTGTCTTGATGTCGTGCTCGTTGAGCCAGGCGATCGCATCCTTGTAGTCCATCCGCTTGAAGGGTCGGCTGGGAGCTTTGAAGTCTGGGTTGAGCTGCTGGATGAGGGAAGAGGACGTGGGATGTGCCAGGACACGGTCGATCGTGCCGCAGATCTATGATGCAGAAGAGCTCCTCTGTCAGTACAGCGAAGCGAGTCGAACTGAAGGCCGGGGAAGATGGACTCACCAATTGTTCAAGGTGTGCAAGCAGGTCCTCAAATGTGAGGAAGCCGAGTTCAGCTTCCAAGTGCGTGTACTCGCTCAAGTGGCGCCTAGTGTGGCTCTTCTCGGCTCTGAAGCTTTCCTGAACGCAAAACACGTCTCCGAGCGCCGGCAAACAAGTCTCAAGGTAGAGTTGAGAGCTCTGAGTCAAGAAGGCTTCCTGACCATAGTAGTCAAATTTGAACAAAGTTGAGCCGCCTTCCACTTGCGTTTGCACCATGCAGGGCGGTGTGACCTCCAGAATGCCCTGATCCTCAAATTCTGCTCGGAATCCCTGCAGCACGGCGGCTCGGACCTTAAGCACCGCAGAGGCTGTCTCGCCTCGAATGACAAGATGTCTTGAATCAGCCAGAGAGGATAATTCGGCGGTCTGTGGTGAGGAGGTTGGCTTAGCAGCCAGCCAGCAGGGGTCGGACGCGCGCAAATCGCTTGACTCACTTCCGCAACTCTATTGCTGAATGCTTCATCGCCGCCTGGTGCTTTGCCGACGCAAGTCCACCAAGATACGGCAAGCTCGTGGTTGTCAGGGGCACTCTTGCCCTCAGGCAGCGCCTTGATTGTTCCGACCACTTCAACCGAAGATTCTAAAGTGAGCGTCAATGCATCGTACGTCTTTGCCTGGAGGTGGACGTTGAGCACACTGAGCGGTTGTTTGCGTCAGGATCACCTCGACCCAACAGAACTCACGGCCTCTCCGCTGAGAACACACTGCAGGTAGCCAGTTCCATCTCGCAAGACCAAGAAGATCAAGCCTTTTTGACTTCGCAGACGGTGAACCCAACCGCAGATGTGGACAAGCTGATCACGGCTCTGCATACCAGCACGGATCTTGATCTGCTCGGGAGGGTAGCGTATTAATCAATCTTGTGATTCGGTCACAGCCAATGCACGCGCTGACTCACCCTCTTGCCAAGATCTTCAGGCTTGCTGAGGACGACCTGCTTGCTGTCCTCAAGCCTCTTGCTCTCGTCCTCGGCCTTGCTGGTCTCACCTTTGCTCTTCTCGGCTTCCTTTTGCTGCTTCTTGATGGCAACCTCGTAGCCCTTCTTGGCTCTCTTCAGACCAGCACCAGAGATGGGCTGATATCCTGCAGCATCAGCGTCGGCAGGGGGTGCCGTTCCTTCGGCTGGCGCTTTCCGTACTAGCACCCGAGCTGTGGGTCCTGCGGAGACGAGCGCGGTAACAGCTGTCAGGAAAGGCTTCTCTGCTGAGCCGGTGCCTGTCTCGTCTGATCCGGCAGTCTCGTCAACGTGGACTGCGCGAAGGAAGGGTGGTTGATCATTCAGCAGTGAAGGCCTTGGCTGCTAGCAGCGCACTTCGAGCCAACGCACCGATAGGTCCAGTGCTTTGCTCCTTGTCGCCCAGATGGAGCGCCGCAGCAGCCTGCGAAAGAGCATCTTTGACGCCCGACATGATGTTGCGAGCTTGGTGCGTCGTGTCGGTGTACTGCGGGTGGAAGTAGCGTCTGTTCGTGGTGCTTTGACGGCTTGGGAGGAAGTGTAAAGATGTGGACAGACGGTAGCGTTGTATGTGTGTGTTGTGGTCAATCTCGAATCTGCAAATGTACGCTGTCAATCGCGGCACTGGACCGTGTCCAATTTCGTCGAGAAGATGAGGGCAACTCTGGAAGGACTGTAGTGAGAGTCCATCTTGGTGACGTATCGGCTAGCAGGTGCTATGACTCGAGATGCCTGCTGCGAAGCCGAGTCAGGACGCCCGTGCAAGCGCAGATACTCATCTCGTGCGAGAAGCCTCGTGCTTCGCAACACGATCTCAAGGCTGACCCGAATCTCATGATTCACTTGATTCGCTTCTTGCATTCGTGATTCATCAAGATCAGCCTCTAGCACTCGTGACCATGCAATTGAAGACTCACAGCTGGGCTTCTCGAATAGCTAGATGCAGCTACTCATGAGCGCTCGCACACCCTTCCACTGAATTGTGGATGAGCACCTATCAAACACAATACGAGCCGAGGCCAGGCAGGGCCTCCACAGCAGCACGAAGCGCAAAAGCGATCCAGCTTGCCAAGTTCCTCCACATCAACCTCCCGACCATCACATCTATTAAGCCAGCTGTTCGTAGCTCTTCCAAAATTGACAAGCTGCTGCGTTCCCCATCTCCACCGCGAGGCCATCAAATCCTCTCCACGAACCCAGAGCAAGTATGTCTACAACGTCAGAGAGCTTCGCGGGCGCAGTGGCTGGTCCGAGCAAGCCTCCTCCATACCTGCAACGATCTCTTCACATCCACTACATCGCCTCTCTTCACACACACACCTCCTCTCTGGCCTACCGCCTCACAACGCACCTGCGTCTAAATGCCATCTACTGGGCCCTGTGCACCTTGCACATACTCGATGCTCCAGATGCTTTACCCAGGAACGAGCTGGTGCAATTCACACTGAGCTGCTGGGATGAAGAGAGGGGAGCATTTGGCCCTCATCCGGGACACGACGGGCATGTTCTCGCTAGTTTGAGCGCTGTGCAAATACTCGCTCTTTGCGATGCCTTGCCTGATCTTGATGCTGAGAAGCGTGACCAGCTGATCAAGTGTGAGTGAGCGAGTGAAGCTCTTTGTGCTCGCCTTGACGAGCTGCTCATGTCTAATTGCACACCTCTTGAGGTCAACAGTCATCACCTCGCTCCAGAACCCAAGCACAGGTGCATTCAGCGGTGATCAGACATATCTCGAAGAAGACACGCGATTCCTCTATTGCAGCGTATCGACCTTGTCGCTCTTGGGAGCTCTGCATCATCTCGACAAGCCTCTCACCATCCGTGCTGTGCTCGCAGTTCGCAACCACGACGGCGGATTTGGCACAGTGCCCGGAGCAGAGTCTCACGCAGGGCAAGCCTTTGTATGCATGGGAGCCTTGGCAATACTGGGTGGACTGGACGGATTAGACAAGAAGGCCAAGGATAAAACGGCCACCTGGCTGGCCGAGAGGCAGCTAGAGAACGGAGGGCTGAATGGCAGGCCTCAAAAGCTCGAGGATGTGAGTATTGGGTGGCGCGCACGCAGTTGGGCCCACCATGCTGCAGTCTGACAACGCGATGACGATGACTCTCACCCGCAGGTTTGCTACAGTTGGTGGGTCCTCACAGCTCTCTCCATCCTGCACAAGCTGCACTGGATTTCTCCTCCGAAGCTTTGCGAGTTCATTCTATCTGCTCAGGTAAGTTTGCACACAACTTCACTCGTCGGAGCACGAAGCTTGACTCACACTTCCTCACCAATCGCATCCTACTTAGGATCCTGACCACGGTGGAATCGCAGACAGGCCCGACAATGTAGCGGACGTCTTTCACACCTTCTTTGGCGTTGCCGGGCTATCGCTGCTAGGCTATCGGTTAGACAACAATGCCAAAGATCAAAGTCACGAGTCAGCCGACGTTTTGAAAGAGGAAGAGTCGGGTCAAGGCTTGTTGCTGCAGGAAATCGACCCAGTGTATGCGCTGCCCGCGCGCGTCACAAAGAAGTTAGGTCTGCAACTCGACTATCAAGCCCTTGGCAGATAGCACAAATTTTATGAGAATAGCACGCATCAATGTCAATTGCTCGCCTGTCCTGTCCAAAGCATTGGGACCTATTCAGGCTTCGGCGCCCTCTTCATGTGTCGAAGTGGTGATAAATCTGGAGCATTGCTTTCTTGACGGTAGTCTTGTACACACTAAGTCAGGACCATCGAAGGTGCTCATCGCTTTCGCTGCTGGCCGCCGAGAATAGTGACGAGCCTGACGAAGATGTTGATAGCGTCCAACTCCAAGCCGATGCTGTCTCGGAGAGGGTCGGCAGGGATCATTCCTGCTTGAGCCATCTGAGCTTTCCTGACAATCGACTGAGAGTCGTAAATGAGGAAGAGGGAGAAGACACCAAGTCCTCCGTAGATCGACAAAGCTTCGGTCACTGCGAGAGCTCGGAAAGCCGTCGCTGGCAGAACGAGAGGCGCGATTGAGGAGAGCGCCACGATGGACACACCAATGAGCAATGGTGTTCCGAGCCACAGGTACTGTCCATCCTTTGCGGTCATGCCGACCCAGCAGCACGATCCGACAATACCAGCGGTATAAAGAGCTGCGAAGTGTCGACATGGATAGGTCAGTGGCCTGGACGTGCTCCGCTGACACGAAGTCGTCGACTCACCAGCGCGAGAAAGCACTGCAGGCGCAAAGAAGAAGAGCGGAGAGAGCACGGCAGCTTGCGCAGCGTTGAAAAGCACGTAGCTGGCCATCTTTCCAGGGCTACCAGGTGGCAAAGTCTGAGCCCCGATCATGCCGCCGATGGAGCAAACCAGTCCAGCTCCCATGACCAGCCAAGGATTGGCGGCCATAAGAGATCGACTGGCTCCCATACGATGCAGAAGGAAAGCACCGCCACCCGTCATTGCGAGACCTGTAGCTAGCCAGCCGAAGGTGGAGTGGACGTAATTGGAAACGAACTCGCTGAAGGGCGCGTCGCGCGTCTCTCGGTTCATTAGCCAGTGCACTGTGATGGGTGGCAAAAGGCGCTGCTCTGTCAGCGTCATCAGGGCAACCACGATCAAGGAGTCGTCAGACTTACCTGCTACTGCACCACCCACGATGAGACCACCAGAGCTCAGAAGTCTAGCCCATGCTCCTGGCTCACCCATGGATCGCGGACCGCTAGGAGCTTGATGAGGCAGCGAAAACGCTTTGATCTTGTCGCCTGCGCCACCCTGAGGTCTGAAAGGTGAGGTCCGAACACCGCGGACCTGCTGGCCGATGCTATTCGGTGAAGAAATTCTCGCGCCTGATTGCAGTCGCAAGAGTGACTGGGACGCTTGGGCTTTCTGTTGCTGGAACGCGTGCCTGAGGGGCGAGAGGGTAGAGTTCATTCGGACCGGCGCAGCGGACGCGGTCACGCCTTTGCTGGCAGCTGAAGAGCTCAGGGCCAGCGAAGTCTGAAGGGACCGCGCCAAACTTGCGAAGGAAGGTCGCAACATGTTGAGAATGTGACGTCGCGCTTGGATGAGGATGATGGTGTTGGTGGTGTAAGCCACTTCCAAGCCCGTCTGGCGATGCCTCATACCCTAGCTGTCATACTCACGCAGCGCTGACCCGCGACGCGTGCGCACGACCCATGGCATTTTCTAGAAGTGGAGGCACAAGGGCACGTGACATCATGGCAGTCGTGAGTTAAACAGCTGTTGAACAAGGATTACGGTGGGCTCGTCCACGCCCATCAAGAGTCACACGAGTCATGATGAGGTCTTCAAGCGTAATTAGCGTATCATAGTCGTATGTTCACCTTCCCAGGGCGAAGAGACCGGCAACAAGGTGTGGAGAACTTCCGAATCAAGCGCGCACGGGCAAAATGCCCGTCAAACACCGGTCAAAGGTTGAGCGTTTTGGTATTCATTTGAACTCGTAAGATCCTCAAATAGTACATGATGGGGAAGAGTCTAGGCATGTATACGGCAGGCGCTGGAAAGGCAGCATCGGACAATCTTGTGGAAATTGGAACGTGAGAATTTGAGAGCGGTGATCGCGCAGGATCGGGTCGGAGTGGTATGCGTAGTCAGAGCTGCCCACCGCGGCGCTGCGCGACCTTTAGAGACCACCAGGAGCGCTGGCGCCAATAGGGATCTTGCGTCTGAGCTCCATGCCGAAGACGCCCACAAAGGCGAAAGCGCCGAGCACACCGACGATGATCCAGACGCGGCTGAGGGCGTGGTTTGCAGCGTCGAGGACTGCCGGAAGAATCTCTGCAGGTGTGGTCTCGCGGAAAGCGGAGATACCGTGGCGTAGGATGGATCCAGGGTCTGCTCCAGGGATCTCGTTGAGGTAAAGCTGGAACTTGTTTTGGAACACGGACTGCGCGACGGACACGAAGATCGTTCCACCAAGAGTCTGGAAGAAGATGACGATACCGCTGCCGAGCGCGATGTCTTGAGGAGCGAGTGCCGCAGAAGCTGCGATGAATGGCAGCATCCAACTCATACCCGGACCGAAACCAGCCAAGAATTGGAGGCCGACGTACTCCGAAAGGCTGGTGTCAACCTCGAAGACGGAAAGGATGCCACCGCCGATGGCCACCAGTGCAGTACCAACGATGAGGAAGGGGATGTAGTGACCGGTCTTGTTGACGACGCCGCCGATGACTGTGACTGCAAAGACGACAGCGACGATGAATGAAAGCATCTGGACACTTGCGCGAATGGCAGATGAGCCGCGGACCGCTTGGAAGTAGATGGGCAAGTAGTAGAGCTCGGTAAAGTATGCACCTGCGACACCAAAGTTGACGATGGTGCCGAAGCCGACTGTTCGCTGCTTGAACAGTCGGAAAGGAATTGTAGCCATCTCGCCCATGAACCACTGATCGACAAGGAAAGCAATGGCAATGACGACGAAGCCGACGATGAGACCGATGATCTTGGAGTCGCCCCATGCGTAGTCGACACCTCCCCATTGAAGCACGAGGAGGAGAGAAATGAGAGATCCGAGGATCAGGAAGCTGCCGAGCCAGTCGATCTCGATGATGCGCTGAATGACCGTCTTCTCGTGCTTGGCCTTGGGCACCTGGAGCGCCAAGAGGACTGCGGGCCCAATAAGAGCGTAGAGGACCAAGTTGAGGTAGAAGCACCAACTGGGTACGAAAGCAGGAAATGGGAGAACTTTGTTATTCTTTGTCGCTTGATATGCAAACGCGCTCTTATTGCGCTCGCACACTCACCGCCAAGTAGCGTGCGAAGTGAGAGCACCACCGATGAGAGGTCCGATGGTCGCTCCGATGCCGTAGCTGGCGCCCATGAGACTGGTGAGCAAGGGACGTTGCCTCAAGGGAGCAATGATGTTCACGATGATCATACTACCGCTGTAACCACCAGCCAGACCAAGACCAGCAATGGCTCTGCCCACGATGAAAGTCTTGGAGTCCTTCGCAACCGCGCAGATGAGAGAACCAATTTCAAAGATGAAGAGGGCGACTTGATAGGTGTTCTTGACGTCGAAGCTAGAGTACAATCTTCCGAAGAGAGGCTGGAATGCAGTAGAAGTCAACAAATAAGCGGATCCGTACCATCCGACGTCGGTAAAACTTTGAACTGCAAAATGTCAAACCTCAAGTCAGTGAAGCGCCTTGGTGAGGGGTCGCTGATGCAAAAGACTCACATTGGTTGGTGATGATGGGCACAGCAGTTGAGACAATGGTTTGATCGAGTGCTACGAGGAAGACGGTCAAATTGACAGCCTAGAAATGACAAAGAGGAATGGTCAGAGCGTGCTACGAAGGGAGAGACAGGCACACTCGTCACTACTCACGGTCATGATCAGGACAAGCCTGAGACCAGTTACGTAATTCGACTCGTCCTCAAGCGCAGGATCAGCTTTGGCAGCGATGGGGTTCTCTGCCATCTCGACGTCCTTCTCTTTGAGTTCATGGTTGCCGCCGTCGCTAGAGTTGGAAGTGTGCGGTGGTCGCTCGGCATCGCTGACGGTGGATGGCGCGCCGCTAGCATTGTGCGCGAGTGTTTGAGACATGGCGAAAGGTGTCGCGGGTGGTTTCAATCTTCGCCGATGTGAGGGGAGGGGGAGTCCGACTCAGGTGGATGACAAGTGGGGGGTTTGGAATATCGGCGCTTAGACGGATCGTTTTAAAGGTTCGTCAACACATTTGTCCATCACACCGGGAGGATGCTGAGCAGCCGCATCGTCCCATACCCAGCCAAGCAGATGCGCGGAAGGAAGCTGTATATCCGAGACAAGCGCTCAGGGTGTAGCCGAGCAGGTTCACCACCATTCTGCTAAGCTCCGGCACTCTCGCCAGCAGGTAGAGCAAGCACGATCCCTTGATTATCATCTTACGCTTTGGCTCCATGCATCAGCATTTTTGCATGATAGCGGGCTGCAGACGGAGTCGCCGAGGACGCAAATGACTTTGGAGCCGTACGCCGACGGACGGGATGACGCCCGCGAATTCGGACTCGACTCGACTGTGACTCGTGAATCACATGTCGAGCACGGTCCGCTTTAGCTGCTGCAGAGACTCGCGACTACAGTAGAGTAGTATTCATGCTGATATTGCATGAACCGCATGCATGCACTGCGCGTATGCCCAGCAGACCGATTCATCATGCTGCTGCAGTCATGTCAGCCTCAAAAGCAGGATTCCGACGGGTTGAGACCGCTCGTCTCGGGAACACGACGCGTGTCTCTGGCGTTATGTTCCTCTTCCTTGGCCATTGATTGCTTCGCCGAAGAGCGCTACGATTCTTGATTACACCTACTGTGCACGATCCAAGTGGTCACATGCCCCCATCCTTCGCATGATCACCATACCCTGCAAGGTCGAGACGTGCAATCACGACAAGAGTCTTCCTTAGCCCCTGCTTCGTGCAGAGTCTGCCCTCTCTGGCCCAAGGCTGGAGCACAGATGAAGGGGTAAGCACCGCTCCTTTGACCGGCATATCACCGAAGCACGACGTGTGCTGTGCAACAACAGCATGTAATGACTCTCCCCAAAGTCTGCATGAGCCGTCAGACGCAGAATCAAAACACAAGGGATGCAAGCCCAATGCCCGCCGCTAGCATGAAAGGATAGGCTGCTTGCGGTGTGAGCCTCATCCAGGAGCAGCAGCATCAAGCAGCAAGGAGAGGCTTCCCAGCTATGACCATGACCCCATGGCAGGGCTTGCTGCTCGTCCACATCAGCTCTATGAGAGCAAATGATGATAATAATGTGCGGACCGAAGTCGAATGCAGGCACGCCGCCGGCCGCAATTCCATCTCGACTGCTGATGCGCGCCATATCGTAGCTGAATCCGCGGCACACCGCGGCTGTCAGCACGATGCGCACGCATTGGCTTATCCTGATTCAAACCACGAATGCTGACACCCCTTCGGACCTAAGCGCGGGTTGACGCGGCAACGGCAACGGCAACGGCAACGGCAACGCGGAGATATAGCCCGTGCGGCCGAAGTCAAGAGCGATGCCTCATGACTCACACAGACTTTTGAAATTGCATACTCAAGACTCTCACTTGCGCGACTTGTGGCTTGCCTGTACCTCAAGACTGCTGCCTCATCTTGAGTGAATCCGCAGACGTGGTCACGTGGTCACGTGGTCACGTGGTCATCACCTCTCATTTCATGGCAGTCGTCCATCAAGAAGTTCTTGGGGCATGCATCAGAAGAAGGACAAGCAGGCGCAACCGAGGTCCGCTAGTCATCTGATGGTGCGGGCAGTGGAAGAGAATCAGCTTCGAGGCTGATGGAAGGGCCATGCTTACAGCGACGAGACTCGCGCTGTTGCCACATCAGCTGGCACCCGCCTTTCACCAAGACAACCCCATGCGGGTGCTCTGTATAGCGCGCAAGGCTCGTCTGATGGAGCAATCTGCTATCGCTGAAACACCGTCAAAAGCCTTGGCGCAAAAGCTACTTCATCGTCGCCTTCAAGCTCGAGGGCATACTCGCCGCGCAGTGAGCACGGATGCATGCGCTAGAGTAATCGTGTTCGCAGGTGGGAGCCTGGACGAGAGAAACGTTTGATCTGGCTAGGTGATCAGAGTGGCGAGAGAGTGACGGCTTACGTTCTGCTTTTACAACGTCGAGACGTCGTGCTACGTTGATGGTCAACTCAGCAGACGCGCCCAACCCCTTTGCGCCAAGCGTCGCTCGCAGGTGAGCTATCGCCACTTGGAGGTTTGCGTAGGCTACGAGCACATTTGCTATCTGATACGCAGGCTCGGGTCTGTTACGCTTGCTATGCGAGATCTCCGTGGAGTCGTTCTATCGCCACCCTGTGGCGACGTAGGCTGAAAGTCACGCACGACTATCACTGTTCGGAGCCTCGCTGCCCTTGGAGAGTCGGAACGAAGGATCGGAATGAATGATACGCCCCTTGTCTCGGCCCTCGACCACGCGCAACATCGTGCACTCAGAAGAGAAGTCCCGATTTCGCACGCCCAAATGTCTGCCCTTCTTGCGCTATTGACTGCAAGCCGCAGGGAAAGTCAAGTACGTACTATGTGTTCCTGGACCTAGAGTCGCCCCTTTCTTGACTAAGATACGCTTCGCGCATGGAGCGGCTTAGTCTCCGAGATTCATGATTGACGAGGGACATACACCAACTACTAGCATCACGTGCAGGACCGCCTAGCCAAGAAAACCGCATGTGTGCGTACACGGCATAACGTACGAAGAGGTGCATGTATGATAAGCCATTCACGTTTTGTTTCTGGTTGGATCCTTGATTTTTGATTGCCCGATTCTAAATTGAATAGACCCGCGTCCCACCCTCCCCATCGAGTCACATCTTTCGACCCACAAACTAACACACAAGCCTGCAGTATTCAGTTTGTGTAGCGCAGGCTAATCGCGATGTCGCCGAGTCCCTGACTATCCTCGAGGGTGTTGTCGCTTTGCGACCTACACAAAGGCTCAAAAGCAGGACGTCAATCGGAGCGATACGTTATCGAAAGCGTATCAAGACCAAGCTCGACCTTCTCTTGCCTCTTCTGCGTCACCGGACTCTCTTCTGTGTGTCATGTCAGACTCTAGCAACGAAGTGCTGGTCAACGTGTTTGGCACTTTGGGCGCGGTGAGCAGTGCCAGGCATCACCTCGTCCATAGACCCGACCACACATAGACATCGCTCGCCATTCTTTCATTACAGGTCCTTTGGTCTGTTCAGCTCCTGCCTCAAATGTGAGCAAGGCGCGCTTGGAAGGAATTTACCGAAATTTGTATGGACTCGTCATCTGATGTATGGACTCGTCATCTGATCGCTTGACTTCGAATTTGGGCAGCTACCTCAATCATCGCCGGCGTCAAGCGCAGGGAGTCCAGCCATCCTTCATGATGCTATGGGCCGTCAGCGGGCTCGCGCTTGGCGTGCACAATGTGCTGGCCAACGTCAACAGTGCGTGTACGTCGAATGCTGAACGCAATGAGTGCTGACCGCTCGAAATCTTCGTACAGTTGCATTACAGGTCCAAGCTCAAATTCTTACCGCACTTTCCCTAAGTGTGTTGGCAGTCGAGGCTGGGTCAGATGAAAGGCTGCCCACCGTTTATCGCCCTGTTCGCCCATTCTTCGCAGTTACCTGGGCGCAGATCATGTACTTTGAACACGTGAGGCAATATATTCCACTACGCTTGCAAAGGCCTTCTCCTTAACTGACATGTAGATGATGCCGGAACTCGTAGGAATGGAGCAAGCTTCGCACATGTCTCACTACCGCCAGTCTTGCATTCGCCTTTGCCGGAGTCGAAGCAGCGCTCATTGCAGGATTGAGGGTCAGTTCTGATCACCCGGATGCAATGCCCCACTCTCACACAAACTTCATTCGCCTTCCGCCTGACAGTATGGCCTGACGCAGGGACCTCCTCGCTGGTTCCTCACCTTTATGGCCGTCCTCGCAGCAGTCGGTCTAGCGCTCGGCGTCCTGCGAGAATATGTGGACATTCTCCGCACGCAGTCGACCCAAGATCTAAGTCTCATCTTCGTCTACCTAGATGCGGGGGGAGATTTGACGAGCTTGATCAGCGGTGCGTAGGCACGTCGAGAGCATGCGCAGTGTGCGAGGCTCATTCCCGCTTGATCCTTCAGTTGCGCTAGCATCGCCCCTTTCCATCGAGTCCATTGTGATTTACGCATCGGAGCTCTTGCTGTGGATAGGCATTATGGTCTTGGCAGTGTGGTTCGGGCCTATGAAGAGGTGGAGACATTGGAAGGCAACTAAAGCTCCCGCTATCAGCATCGAACAGCATGTAGAAGATGTGGAGACCACACAAGCAGCAGAAGTGACGTGAATGAGTGCTGGCCCTCACGAGTCGCCCATTGCACCGCGGCGACTTTGAACATGGCGGAAGTTGAACCATTTGCTGCGCCCAGGGACTGATGCTGTCTCGGCCGCTATTTTCGGAATTTGAAAGCTTGATCAGTGAGTGCCACGCACTTTATCAGCCATCAATGCAGATCGGCAGACCGACCTGCACTCGATTTGGGCGCATCAATCACTTCATCAATCCCTGACGCTGCCGCCCGCCATGAGTCAAGATTGTCTTTGGGGCTGATGCTTCTCGCCTGATCACACAATCACTTCGCCCAGCTTGTGTGGAAGAGGATTTGGCAGTCGCGTCCATGAGTATCCGATGCGAGGCTCTGCGTGCTCGAACGAATGCCAAGCTTTATCACCGCATCAGTCCAGTCCATGAGTATTGCGATCACGCTCCAACTTTTCGAAACAGATGGACAGAAGTGCATAGTTGAAGAAGCTTGTGCCTGTGCCAGGTCTCAATGCAACGCGCTCAGTGATGGCCCGGCCGCTGCGCTACTGTCACTTGTTTGTAAGCTAGCGTTAGTGTTTCTGAGGCGAGGCTTGCCCGGCTGGAAGTAGCGTCATGCGGGCTGTCGCGCCGAGCAAGCATGGTATGAGCTCAAATAGATACGTGTATAGCGCTGTTCCCACGATTATTCTCTTGTCACAAGCATTGTGAATGCTGGGTACGATGCAAAGACAGTCTTCCAAGAGGGGTGAGACCTCAAATAAGCATGATGATACACGAACAGGAACTGTAAAGGGCGGCGAGGTTCTGGTCGAAACAGCAAGCGAACGCGGCATGGTGGAAAGGATTGAAGGTGTCTTTTGGACGTGAAACGGTAAATGGGCAGGACAAGGACACCTTCGGAACAAAGCGGGATTCAGAGGAGCTTACGCGAGGAGGCTGAGCCTGCTGAGGCGATCCATTGAGAGGTTCAAGGCGCAGCGCAACGCGAGGTGAGGATATTTGCTTCAGACTGAGGAGCGTGCTAGATGCTGCCACGGTGTGCCATGAGGTAGGCACCCAAGCCACCTTGGGGTCCAGGACCGACAGCATGGCCATGTTGATGCTGCTGTTGGTGGTGCACTGCTGTTCCAGCGCTGCTGTAGGGTCTTCCGCTCGGATCTAAAGGGGCAGACTGAGCCGCATAAGGTGCACCGCTCACAGCTCCGTTCGAAGGCGGGCTCATGAAAGAGCTGCCGGCGTGAGGTGCGCTGTAGCGCGGCTGGTGGCCACTGATGCTGCCCATGGAAGAGCCGCCTGGTGCACCTTGGTAGGCCAAGCCGCTTCCCGACGGGTAGACATGCTGCATAGATCCTGGAGCGCCGGAAAAGCCAGCAGAAGGAACTCCGCTGCGCAGTAAATCGTCGCCGTGAGTGGGGACTGCGGCTTGACGACGTGACTCTTCCTCACGCTTCCCTTTCCTCCACGCTTTGCGCATCTCTTTGAACTCTGCGGGCGGGAAAAGACGATGTCGGGATCAAACTTTTGAGACGGCCTCCCTTCTTAACCTCTGACTAGGTACTCACCTCCTGGGGTGCGCTTGGCGCCGTGCTTTTGCATCGCCACATGAGCGTTGAGATGATTCAGGGTTCCGTAGCTCTTGGCACATCCAGGGAAGCTGCAATTGTAAAGACGCTCAATCTCATCATATCTCCTACGGGGGCGCTTCTTGTGATTGCTGCCATGGCCACCTGGACCTCCCGCGCTCTCATCGCCGCCAACCATGTACGAAAAGATTTTTCCGCCGCCGCTCGTGGGCGAGCCTTCGTTCATGGATGAGACGGAGCTGATGGACGCGCGCGGACCGCGGTTGTAGTTGGCTGGGGCCGGAGGTGGAGGATCAGCATGCGTCATCGATGCACACGCGTTGCAGAGAAAGAGTGACTTACAAGGGATCGCCCCAGTCCATCCCTGTGGTCCCAGGCCGAAAGGTCCACCAAACATGCCGTCGGCGGTATGAGGGCGGGCAGATCCGCTCGCGTTGCCCCACGCGGCCATATCACCCGCGTGCGGCGGGGCGCCCATACTGGAAAAGCTTGCGGATCCGCTGACTGGAGCAGCGGCAGTGGGAGCGGCATGCGAGTAGTGATGAGACATGACGGGGCCCGAGATGGATGCCCGGTGGAGCATGTGAGCCGGAGGCTGTTGATAATAACCGTGAGTAGATCCGCCATGTGAGGATCCAGGAGGCGGAGGGGTCATCACCCCAGCACTCGAGGCAGGGCCAGATTGATATTGGCTCGAGGTGTGATGGACAGCTGAGCCGTGACCATTGCTATAGTCATGGGAGGCACTGATCGTAGCCGCGCTGCCATCGCTGGGATTCATGATGTGCGAATCAAATGAAGTAGGCTCAGCATCATAGCTGCCCCCTGCATGACTTCCATTGCCCTGGTAGCGAGTAGTTCCGTCGTGTGCACTGCCGTCGAGCGCTTGTGCTAAAGGAGGCAAATGTTGACCTCGAGATCCATCGTACGAATTAGAGCCGTAGTAGCCAGCGTGTGAGTTTTCATCGTCTGGCGAGGTGTGCCCGCGCTGGGCCACACTAGCGTCGGAAAAGGAGTGGCCTGGCAGATGGCTGGCGCCATTGCTGCTGTATTCACCCGGAGGAGCTCCATATCCGCCAGCGTTGTGCGGGTAGTCCGCTCCGCCAAGGTTGGGGTCGAGCTGGTCGTGATCGTAAGGTGCGTACCCCGCTGATGCTGGGGGCAGAGGTTCGGCGAAGCCAGAATCCGCTCCTCCCTCGACCTTGCCCACAGGTCTGCGACGAGTGATGCGTGACATGTCGATGAGCTCGAAGCAAAATGACCAGTGATCGTTGTGTGGCTGGTGAAGATGACAGCTGTTATGCTGTCTGGTGAGGTATCCGAAGACGCCACGGTCTGTCGAGCCGTTGACGCGAAGATGATCCGCTCTGCGCACGCGTCGCGAGAGCGCTAAGTTAGCGGCAAATGACCTGATTAGTTGGCGCTGCTTCTCACGCAGGCAATGCCGCTAAGATGCCGTCGCGGGAGTCCTGAGTTCACCTGGTGCTCGTGCGCTTCAAGGAGGCTTGCGTCGAGGAAGATTACCGTGAATGGGAGTGAATGAAGCTCGTATATGCTAGATGTTTATGTGGTGTGCGCACCGTGGTGATAAGGTTAGGTGTAGAGTCTGACGAGATGGGACCATGAGTGGGCTGAGTGAGGTGTGCCAGTCCAGGCTCTACTTCGCGGTGGATGCGGTCGATTCCGGACAAGCTGGGGCGTCAGTCACACTCGTGACTTACTCACACAAGGCACGCTAAATCGACGAGCAAGACGCAGCAGCACGCAGACCGCGCTAATCCCAACTCGCCGCTAGCCCACAACGTGGCAGAAAGGACGCAGGCAGATCATCTGCGTTGCTTAGCGCGTCTGGTGAGATGAGGTGATAGGTCAGGCCAGCACGCAGTGACGCAGTGCTCAGGTCTTGGAAGATACCGAACAACTGCTGCGGGACGCGAGCATGTGTGTCGTGAGCGGTGAGGCGCCATGCAGCGAGATGAGCCCCTCAGCACCTACGACTCGCTTCCATGCAGAGCCGTCGACGATCTGCAGCTCTGGTCCTGCGCTCGCCTTGCTGTGACTCGCACAACTGTGTGATTGCTGCAGGCTTCTGCCCCAGCCAAGGCATCAAGTCAGTTTTACGAAGGGCAGCGCAAGAGTGACAACATGCGAGCGGGCGGACAAAGTGCAGACAGATGCGTGAAGGTGCATGCATCCAGCACGTTCATGGCTCAGCTTGCACGCTCCAGGTAGGGCTCGCGTGGGCATCAGACCTCTCTGACACTTCAAACCTTGTCATCTTGTGCCTGTTGAATGCTGCCACAGTGCAGCGGCAACTTGGCTAGGGCATATCCCCGCCTCACGAGTAGTCATGATCCTTCACGATTTACATACGCCTCCAAATTCGCATCGCTCCTTTCCTCCGACGACCCGCGGCCAGCCACGGCGCGGGGACAGTCAGAGTCCAGGTCGTGAACGGCTTTCGTAAGTGCTCAAGTCGCGAGTCAGTCATGCATCTGTGCGGGACGCGGGAGGCGGAAGCAGATTATTCTGCATGCTTGCCCAGCACGGCACGCTCTGACTGCGTGCCGGTCGGGAGCCACGTAGCTGTGCCGCGAACACCATACCCTTCTGTCTCAGCGCCTGGGCAAGCCATATGTCTCATCGCGCGTCATTCGGCATTTCCATACAGCTTGCGCGTTGAATCGTCCGGCATTGGTGATTACAATCGTGATTTCACGCTCGTCGGAGCTGAAATCAGGAATTTCACATCAATTTCACGCAGTCCTTTGCCTTGTAGGTGAAGATAGCAGAATACACGCAATCGCAAACGCAACATCATGGTCGTTTCATCCACGAACATCGAAATGTGTACACGGCTCGTCTCTTTCACCGCTACGATTCGCATTTCGTGACCGCCGTGCACTTGGCGCCAACGACGTCAGCTTCACGAATTTGATTGAGCGCCGGCATGACACACGAGGCTCGTTGCGTCAAGTCATGCCACTTGTATGCGCAGAGCGTGCATGTCTTGGCAAACAATCACGAGCCCAGACGAGCGATGCTGAAAGCGGACATCAATACGCAGCCTATTCCGATGTCTCCTTGTCAATAGTAGTACTCTGCGTTATCTGCCAATGTGACTCGCGATTACATTGCCGCAGCATACCTTCAATCAAGTGATGTGGTCTGAAGCGCTCTCAGAGCAAATACGCGCATGAGATTTTCTCAAGTCACGAAAGGAGATGCAATCACGAAAACAAAATATCCTGATGAGCATAGACAGC